TCAATTTCTGAGCAGACAAATGTAAATGTTCGACTTTCCACTGTTTAAGCGGTATGAGGGAGCATGGCGCTCGACTTATATAAAACTAGTGTTACGAAAACCCGCTGGGTAGAATCGTAAAACATAGATTTTCACCGCAACTGGAGAAAAATGTTTGTCAAGACTGTTGTTTGTCGCTAGTAGTGGAATACCATAGGCTAATTATTAGTGATTTCAAGAGAGTAGTACTGCGATTTGAATGGTATACATAGAAATTTATCACATATAGAATCACTCAAACAGAAAAACGTGAGACATAAATTCACCTTAGCGTTCTTCTTCCCGAGGATGAATCCAGTGAATTCGGTTGCCTGTTTGTATCAGACCAAAATAGCTCAACTGCATACCACTTTTGTTGTAAAAGAGTTATTCACATTCATTTAACTAATGGGGGCCCGGCTAGAATGTAGTCAAGCTTCATAATACGCCCTGTCGCCTACAAATACAGCGGGCACACCTTCGGTACGTCACGGACCCTATATGGCGATTTCATTTGTGACTCTTGGCAGACATATATGTTGTAGACGGCGCACTGAATCTGCGAGCATGGCCCAGTGAACACACTCGTTTGCACACAGGTAACGGGGCGTTTATGAATTGGATCACAACCGAATAGTTCTAGAGCAATAGCAGTACAACTGGTGATGAAAGGACACGTCTTTCTTTTTCCTGCTTTGATGCAATATTTTTAGTTTATCCTAAGATTGTACGAATGGTTTACCGGAGTCAAATATGTAGGGTTAACGCGGTGAATGTAGACTACAGATAGCCCCGGGAACAATAGTAGGGCAACGGACCTTGGCGAAATACTGTGTCTTAAGATCAATGACTCCACTGCTTTGGCTATTGAAATTGTCGACTGGGATGGTCAGTTCAAGACCTGGTTGCAATTCGTGAAGCATTTTCACTACTTCCCTGAGCCCAGAAGTTGATCATCTCCATGCATACAAAACGTTTGCAGCAACAGAAGTTCCAAGTAGAATTAATATTTCCCTCAACGGTATCCACCAAGTTATTGAGTCAAGCAGGTCATCTAAGTTGGGTTCTGATGGTATTCCACCATCCGTTATTAAGCTAACGTTGTCTGGCCTACACCTGCTCCTGATGCACATGTTAACCCTATCGTTGTACTATAGCCATCTACCAAATCAATTAAAACCTCGGTTATCATACCTTCACAAAATATATTTAGTGCTGCTGGGCATCTATCACTCTCCGGTAGTCATCCGTGTGCAATAAAATTGCCCAAAAGTGCGTGCTGAACTTTTCCAAATGTTTAGGCCTGATAAATAGGCCGCAGCTTGGTTTCCTTGACATGCGATCGTGCACCACACGTCCTTTACCGTATTTGAACATCATTACAAAACCTATCCATGCCAGTTGTCCTATAGCAAGTCTGATTATGGACTGGGAACTTTAAAAGCAGTAATCATAAATTTGGAGGCTTTTTTGGATCTATAACCAATTACTAGTTTGCTTATGGTCACGCCTCAGTGGCCCCCACCAAGTAGTCACATTAGATGACTATCGCTTTGCTGCACGCCTTATCACTAGTGGGGAGACCCAAGGAAGCGCGCTCGGTCCTTCACTGTTCCTGTTCTTCAACAATGATATCATGATCTCCGTAAAACATGATCGGTCATTTTTATTCACCAACGATACCAAGGTCGTCTGTAAGCTTAGATCTGACGAAGTTCACGGTGCGCTTCTGCTAATTCAAGATGGCTTATATTCACTTGAGGTATAGGGCCACGCGTGGATGATATACCTCTAGGTCAAAATACCAAGCATCGTGTCTCACGGCTGTTCCATCTCCGAAGAATCTAGCGTTCTCAAAAAGGCACATGTTTGTACACAGCTTTCCACGCACGATCTCGCAATTAGGTACTCATAGACGTTCAACATCTCCGAACATGCACGATAGCGGATAGTGCGTGCCAGACACCCTGTGGTTACTACCTCTAAAAGTACACACGACCCATACTAGATTTCAGGTTTTTAGGCCACTCACTCGTCCCATCCTTGAGTACCGTAGCATAATATACAGTAACTTGATAGATAGCGGCAGAATTGCTCAGGTACACCTTTAGAGGTCATTTACTATGTATCTGATTCAAAAGGATTCCACGATTGATTAGCAATGTGGTTGCGACAAAGTCCAACCAGAATCAATTTGGATGCAACGGTTAAAACACAACTTGTTGCTGGTCTAAAGCCCTGTACATAAAAGACATATTCCGATTTGCCTACACCCTAACTAAGAATTAACTCAGTTCAACAGCTACGCAGCAAAGATTTATACACTGACAATACTCAAGGCTAGAACAAATATGTCTTCCGATTTTTCCTTAGTCAGATATAGCTATCTATGGAATAAACTACCAATCATGGGTCATGTGACATTGAGGCAGCATTTATTAACAAACACTCAGGTTACCTTGATCAGAATACTGTAATGGCTATACGCATATGAGAAAAATCCCCTCGATGAGCTATTCCAATGGGGACCCAAAATCGTCCAATCACTTACGTTTCCAAACCTTGTTTTTCGACCTAATCGTCCATTAAGTGGATAGTACATGAATCTAATGCATCAAGATTACACATACGCGCATCACACATGTAGGAGAACTGTGATTCTTGTACAAATTGATCTGTGCCGCTACCGCAACAGTGTTTTGTATCATGAGAATTATACGTATTAGTAATACAACTAAACCTGTCTAAGGCGACCACTGCAAAGGTCGACAAAAGTGGTTGCCGCAGACAGGTGGCCGCCATAGCAGTTTGGACTGTAATAAATGTAAGCGACAAATCGCTTGGAAGCATTGAGCCAAAGCGTTTCCACCGGAAGCAGCAAGAAGAAAGCAAGCACTGGAATACAGCACTACTGGCAGGCAATTAGAAACAGCAAATGTACAATACTTCAATAAACTGTGCTTCCGGCACAAGCGTTTCAACGGTTAAAAACAGTTAACAACAGCCAATAATTATGGCTTCCAGACACACGTGGGAATGTACTCGTCTCAGTGCGTTGTTGTTTTAGTACAGGCCAGCACATGACCACTGGGAAAAGGAGGTTGCCACGAGCCGTGGGTGTGAGAATTCGTGCATTACACGCAGTGATGGCATTGTGTGTCAGTACTACACAAGGGGAGCAAAACAATAGGCTATCGAAACCGATAGTTTCAATGTGTGATCATTCACAAAAACAGTACAATATTGTCAGGTCGCACAAGCAGTGCAATGTGAGTACAAAGCATAGTGCACGGATAACCCGTCGGGCGTCACTATGTGGAGCGATAATTGAGTTTGTTCCGGTTATCAAAGTAGGTCAAACGTGCGACTGAATATAGGTCATCCACATTCTCAAAGTGCAACATAAACACGTGATTAATCTAACACCCGAAACAATATGCATTGAGCAAGAGAAACAAATGGTTTGGGACAGAGGTTGGGTAAATGGTAATCACAGCCAGGGAGATCATTGAGCGGGATGAAAGTACCACAGGATAAAGCATTCGGGGTTCTTCTACAGCAGTGGTTCTCAACGTCGGAGTAATTACCCCAAAGGTGTAAAATGGAATTTTAAGGGTTTAATATAAGTATGAATATTGGGTCATCACCAAACAACATTAATAATAAAATCATTGTTAAAAGATACAACTAACTACGTAGTAAGGATAATTTGTCTGCTGTACGCCGTAACGAGGCTTCGCTGCCGTGCGACCACCACCAGTCGCACGCGGGATGAGTGTACCGCGAAGACGCCCCGGTGCGGATTCGGACCCGCGCCCCAAGATTACGAGACATTCTCGTTACTTCTAGGCAATTGATTAACCAACATTGACTAGTCATTAGTGTGTGGTCGGTCAATTAGCGTCTTCCTTAATATATTGTATTGCCTAATATACAGATACAAGTCTCCCAAGCAGCGCCACTAGTTGGTGCCTCTACCGGCTCGCTCGCCCATCGTTGTTCTTTTGAGTCAGGCTGTCATTCGCCGAGTCGAATTACAGAGTTGAGTGAACATTGAGGTGGGAGCATAGGTCAGCTGATCAGGTAAAGGAGCGAGCGAATGGTTACAAGGTAAAAGGGACAAAACGGGCGATTAGTGTTCAGGACGTATCGATACATGCTGGTGGCGGAAAGCTGTCATTCAAGACGGACATGGAAGCTATGGTTGAAACAAATGAAAAGCCATTGACATCTGTTCATGTCTGGTCGGGGATCACACAGCAAAAGAAGGAACCGAATGCAGTTTAGCACGAATTACAATGTACATTAGCCGAAACCGCACAAAACATACAAGAAAATGTTATGGCTAAGCAATATCAACATCACCTCTTGATTAATTAAGAACTGCTTTACTTGCATGATCAAAAATAATTAAAAATGTATTCCTTTTCCGTAATTTAAAGCAAAATATGCAATAGTTAATAACTGTTAAACTAAACTATTTTAAAGCTCAGTGTTTATAGTGGATCCACTTTGTGGCTAACAGCCTCAAATAAGTTGTGAACCACTGTTCTACAGTAATGTTATTATTATTAATGAACATAGTTCAAATTCAAATTTTCACCTAGCGTATCAAGGTTCCTAACTTTTACTGTCCACTCTATCACGAACCACCTACAATAGTAGTTCCCAGTATAAAACTATCCGTTTGGCAAGTTCAACCTGTTTTTTGTTATGCAACGGGGTAATGGTTTTTTCTAATATGTAGATGTCCTATTTGTCTCGAGCACAGCACTAGATTGTCATGGTAAAACATAAAATCTGGTGCTGCAACATTGCTGACCCGACGTACAAACTGAAAGAATTACAAGGCCTTTTCTATTTCTTTTTATTTACTCTAAGCAATACATTTTTACCATCTCTGTAGTTAAAGTGAAGGCTCGTCACGCGGGAAGAATACCACAAACAAATTAACCAGTTCCCTTTCATTTCTTCTTTTATAGGTGCAAATTATAAACTTCACATCTAGTTGGCGTAATGGATTGGCATTTTGTGCCCTTCTTCACCGTCACTATTCGCATTTACTCGACTACCAGCTAATGCTAAGTTTTGAGAATGAACCTTGGAAACGCCTAGAAATAGCTTTTCAACAAGCGTCGAACCACTTGGGTATACCGAAACTCGTTGACCCGATGGACTTAACGCAAACGTGCTGGATGGACGAGAGGTGTATCCTCACCTTGGTTGTCACATGGTATCGTTGGCTGAACGAATCCCAATATGTGCGACTGGCTACCAACCGGGTCGGTCACGTTTTGGACCAATGCATTCATAACGCTCGCATGATCAGCCGTCATATAAAGGACACTAAGCATTTACTGCAAATGCTAGGTAGGACAACCAAGCAATTGGTCAGGACTCGATGCTACTTAAATGAATACCACACCAAATCCACTGGCTCCGGTTCCGAAGATTTCATAACAGACATATGTGCTGAATTACGGCGATTAAGTGAATGGCGACAGAAAGAAAAGGTTGAACTGATTGCCCTGAAATATAGGTTGGAAGTAAGTGAATATCGTTCAAAGAAATCCTTTTTCATGTACTATTTAGCGAACGTTTTGGACGCTCTGCAAATTTAACTTCTTGATGTCTTAGCATCTTTCAGGGCCTGCTGTGCTGGTAAGTGACCTGTACTGCATATACTCCTAGAAACAGGTGGCAAACCTTCAGTAACAACTCAATAAAGTTCGGACATATGAAGAGTATAAAAGTTACTGTACGAAATACATCTTGTATTTTCCCACAAATTAACTGTGCTCACCAGTGATAGAGATAAAATAACCTTAAAATGTGCCTTAAGACCTACAAGTCATGTACATCACAGGGTAGCTTTTACACAGATGGAATTTCTTTCTTACAAAACACTAGGCTTTAAGCTTTAAACAATCAGTTTGACTTTGGTCGGAACAAGCTGTACAATCAGGAACTCACTTGTTACACCCGGGAAAAATATTCTCTGATATCTTTAGACAAAAACGACAGCAACAAATTCGACATCTTGTCTTGGTGACTAATACTGGAATCTATGAAGAAAGTGTGGCGTCATGCTGCTCAATTTGTTCTCAGCCTTCAGAAGTCACCTTTGTTAAGATAGCAGACGTCAGTCCTAGAAAATCCATGGATAAGTGAAAGCCATCTCCATATTGGTGGCCGAATTAAACCTGTACTACGGCGGTGGCTTGGCTAACGGAACAAGTACGAAAAGGGCAGGATGCTTATGGTTGCTACCATACTTCCCAATTTGAGCTTAAACACTGTATATAGTTGATAATCTGTGCAGTTCATTGGTACATCACCAACACATCGACGGTTGATTTCACAGAGATTCCGTCAGGTAGCCAGCAAACATGCGCAAGTATGCGGAAAGATAATTTTATTCCATTGTCCTCCACCAGAAGAGCATGGCTGTGAAATTTCATGAGTTTGAAACGCATCACTTTATACCTACAAGTTCGCAAGTTCAGCCAGTGCATCGTCAATGAAGATGGTGTACCACCAGTAAGGTTTACCAGCTACTACATGACGCCGTATAGCTCCATCCCACTCATCCGATGAAGGTCACTTTTTCTTATTCCAAATCATCGAGCTGGAACAACAGGAATTAGGGTTTGGACTTAGAGGATATCACTCGTCGGCAGATTTTATTACCAATGGAATAACGAACTCCGTATGCAAGGTCTTCTAGAATATCTATATATTCCTTGTTGAGGCGCTCCTTTCAGGGTTGGTTTTATAGACACACAGTCAAAATTTGCACTAAAGTTTCCTTTGTAGCAACCTTCCTTCACTCTGCCCGCCTGCAACTGACATAAGTTGGATTGGTTATCGGTGTTAAACACTCGGATTGCTCAACTCCACAACTAGATTCACCCTTGGTTGCCATCCTCAGGTAGAAACAGGCGGAATAAGAGTTTACTTGTGAATGTGTGAGTATGTGGATAGCTCTTCCAGCGTCAGACCTAATCTATTTGAATTACCTGTCCAACGTTTTTGAATTTCACTGGTAAGCAGTCCGTTTCTCTTCCTACAGCAAAACTCACTATGTACAAGTCGTGGGTGTCGCAATCAAAGCGTATAAAATATACTGCTAACCCTAAAGATCACAAATAACCTTTCTTTTGACTCTGACTAGAATACTGCCAATTAATTTGCAACCCTGCGAAATGTTTCTAACTCGTTCAGCTGAATAAATCATTTATTGAAACGCATTTTGCCTTAACCAACAGTTTCTCTTACAGAACTAGGTAGTGTGTCCTTTTTGCTTTCATTAAGCGTTGTGACCATCCGGACAACTGCTTTGTACGTGTATTTCAGTCGCTTCACACAAATATCCAGCGTCCTTGTTTCGCATACTTTGCTTCGTCCCACACTGCACGCGATTCGCAGCTTCAAAATGGTGCAAGCCAAACTTAAAGGTTGCAACAAACTTTGTAACTTCATGAGACGGCACGTAAACAAAGCATGAACACTGCTCCTCTAAGGCCGAGCAATGTTTGGTCTGAAAGTGTTATCAGTTATATTAGTTTAAAATATTCATCTTCAGTATTAGCCTTGACTTCATATGGATTTGGTTCAGTATATTGTAAGGCGGAAGATCAATCTAAGCACTTGACTTACACCCAAGTGAAAACTGATTGAGTGTTTTATTTCCTTTTTTACAAAATATGCAACTATGAGTGTTTCTTCCATTACAACATATGAATATCCTGTGTTGCTCACCCGAAAACATTACTTCTCTTGGAGAAGAGATTGTAAGCATCGAACTCGGGGTCCTTGTAAGTTTAGTTGAGACCTCTACGCCTTCAGCCACCGAGTCATGATGGGCAACACTTGACACAACGGTTAATCGTTGATTTTGAAATTCATTTGAAGGACACGTTGTGTGGATGGATTGCCACACCCTCTCAAAGTTGACCGCGATTCCCACTGAAGTGAACATTTTGGTCTTTCGATCACAACAACCGTAGTTGAAGCAGATAGGAATCGGTTGTCGCCCGCTCGAAAACGATGCACTCTTACGACGCGTTTCGATCTCATTTGAGCTCATCACACAGAGATAGCAGACTTCGAACCCGGTATGTTAGTTGAAACGTCCGCCCCTTTAACCACCAAGTCATGGCGGGCAACGCTTGACGCAACGGTTACTGACCGATTGATTGGACATTTTGAGACACAGGTTTTACCATACATACTACCATTCATTACCCATTTCACACCACCGTTTTGCAGCAGCGCAATTAAAACCATAGGCACTTAAACTGGCAACACATTTTCCTTCTGATTTTTGGTTTTCACCCTAACCATCCTACTAAATTTTTTATGTATCTGCCTTTCTGCTCTTGGTAAATCATTGTTCACTGTTCCTTCTCCTGATGTCTGTTAAAACCTGGATAATACTCACACTGAATATAGGTACGGTTGACAAAAAACGCCTGTAACAGAGTTTTATGAAGTGCACGTAATTGGTAATATCCTTATTGTGATATGCGTCGCATTAAGCGTCCTGCATTCGAAAGCGGAACCTTACCCAGAAGATATACTGACCGTCTGTCCGCAAGCTCTTACGAAATGATGATCTATCAGTTCTAAGCATATTCCAAGATGTTGAATTTTAACTTATAACCACTGGTCTGTCGGGCCTTACTTAAGGTAATGTTTAATCGCACCTAAGTGTCCTATACTGCTTTTCGGTAGATGAAAAATTTTGTTTATGGAAAAAGTGCAGTGATTATATGACAGTGTATTGCTAGTGCGCATTCAGTGACCATATACATAGGAACTTTAGCACCTACATGCTCTGTAGTCAGATGTGTGCAATTTTACACTGTTTTCGATGGATAAGCTGCGAAACCACGAGGCTTGGCTATGACCTTGACGCCTTTAGCACATTGGATGTTTCAGATGTGTCCTAAGTAAGAATTATCATGTCTTTGTGAAAACTTGCCCGGTCGAACAGTAACAAGCTACCTGGGGGCTAAGTCAACTTGACCCCGAACGCCCACGCGTTATACACTAAATTCGAAGTTACGTAGTAAAGAACAGATAAGCGCATCATGCTTCTCCCATATCTCTGTAGACTGATGTGCTAGTCACCTTAAACCACAAAGATGATATTTGAATTTGTACAATTGGACTCATATTCGTGATTCACTGTACAGCATTTTCATATCAGTTAACAGAGTGTATGGCGGAGCCTTTAAAGCAGCCGTCGCTTTTTCGCCGAACATCATTGTTTACATTATCTACTGTATATATATTAGTATTGCAAGATGGTAACGACAGGTATTTTGTTAAGCCAACTTCCAAGCTCACTGAGACCCTTTCTTCAGCTTTGAATATGCATGGGAGATATCGCGCACGATCCCCGACCTATTGCCCCTGGACACAAAATTCTAGTCAGTTGAAACGAAGAAGAACAAGAAGAAACAATTTTACGAAGCCTTTTCCGTTTTCACTGGATACAAATCCCGAAGATTAAGTCCAATTTTTGTGCTCGTTGCTTGATTGATCTATGACAGTGCATCTATAGCGCGTTGACCGTGCGCTATATATCCGATACGCGACTAAACCGT